ATTTTTTACTTTTATTTTTATTTTTATTTCCTCATTTTTTATAAATAATAATTTTTTCGTTCATCAAATTGAAAAAAAAAATTTTAATTGTGAATTTAAATTTAAATTTAATATTTATTTTTATTATTAGTTTTTGATATACAATAATTTATTCAGTTATCGAATTTAAATAAATTTTTTATTTTTAATTTTTAATTTTATTAATAGTTTTGGATGAATAATATTTTGTTCGTTCATCAAATTTAATTACTTTTTTTAATTGTAATTTTAAATAATTGTTGAAAATTTAATTTGAAATTTAATATTTATTTCTATTAATAGTTTTTGATAAATAATTTTCTTTTCGTTCATCGATTTTAAATATTTTTTGAACTTGAATTGATAAAAAAAAATATTGATAGAAGGGAAAATTTGACATTATTGATAATAAGATAAAAAAATTTACATTATTGATGATTTTAATTATTATGAATCTGCGTCTTGTGTAATATAGTTACAATTTCGTTTGCTAAATGTTTTATTATTATACTTTATTCTATTATCTCTTATACAATGTTCTAACATTTTGAATTTTTACAAGATGGGTTATCATCTCAGTGCAGAGTTGAGAAAGATGACTGGCAAAGCTACACGTAAAAGTAGCTTTGACAGTTTCACTGCTGTGTTAGAGCTGCTCGATGATCAGCATGTTGATATGCTGTGCTAGTCCTTCATGTGGCCCTTATATCTGTTGAGAGATTTGCAATACTCGGGTCAGATTATTGATGTACTTCTATGTCGATTGCTGAGTCTAGTCAACGACGATACCCTCCACTTCGCAGTCGGGGACAAAGTCCCCAATTTTTCGATGTTCGAGTTTACTCTGATCACGGGATTAAAGATTACAGGCGATGAAGCAGCTGCTGATGGCACTCAGAGAAGAAATAGGCTACAAGGAAACTTACTTCGAGGGACAGGGTACTATGCTTCTTATACAACTGTTCGACGCAATTAGGAGCTGTGATAAGATGTTAGACAGACTGAAGTTAAGTTGGTCTACATCCTTGAGAACGTGATGCAGTGTCACCATAAGAAGACTGCAATCGACCTTTTCCATTTGGAGATCGTTGATAACACCGTCCGTTTCAACGACTATTCGTGGGGTTGAAGATGTTTCGAAGACATCGTACACGTTTTCATCAAATTGCACTCGAAGTCGAAGGGGGCGTGCGTAGGTATGATACCTATGGATTGCCCCTGGCGGTGCACGTAAATGGTTAACATAATGAATTTTTAAAAAAATTTCCTATTGAATTTGTATATAATAATTGTATGTGTTGTAGATCTGGGCGAATGAAATTGTCCCCCTATTGGGTGCCCACTTTACGAGGTGAGAGGAGACACGCTGCCCTCGGATGCACCATTGGAGAGCATCTCAATCGGAGGGATGTCCTACTGAAAAACAGTTATTGGCTGTCCTCGACGACCCTTAGGTGAGTATTATGCATTTGTAATTTATGTTGTGCGTGATTTAACATCTGATTACATAATCGTTATCTAGTTCAAATATCAATATATCAGCTTGAAGTCATAACTGAGTTAATGTAGTCGATGGAGGAGGAGGCTCAATGTCTTGTACGTGAATTAGGCATTTCGCACACCCAAGACGATCAGATGTCCGATCCGATCCATGATCGAGATTGGGTGAGCGAATTGAATAAAATTTATTGATTACCATTTTGTATGAGTTAGCAATCACAGATTAAGCTAATAATTTGTAATGTTGTTGCTAGTGTAGGAGTGTGGTCCAGTTAATCGACGATCAACTCCGTCGAGGGCATCACCACCTCCGCCTCTCCTATCCAGAGACCTTCCCCGTGAATCTCTCGTACATAGTCAGGGGTACTATTATGATGATCTGTATGCCCGTCTAAGCAAATTTATAGTAGAGCAGGTCGACGGACTGCGTCGAGAGATGATAGAGTAGGTTGACGATCTGGGACGACAATTGGTAGGAAGGGTCGAAGATTTGTCAAATGATGTTAGAGTGTTGCATGGCTATTGTACGGACCTTGAGGATGAGATTGCAGCACTTTGAGGTGATATAGCCAGCAAATGATGGGTTGACAGAGATGGTGATCGAAGGAATGGTCGAGAGGGTGATAGAGATGGGGATCACCAACAGTCATACATGCATGATGATGATGATGATGAATGGGAATCATTTATTTTATTCGTGGAGCGCAATGGGACGGGAGCGGTGGCAAAGGAGGGGGCCCGTCGGAGACGGAGATTGTGGTAGATAAGGGAGTGACCCATCGAGGACGAAAACGGTGGCAATGGAGGAGGTGCTCCCGTCAGGGACGGAGATAGTGGCAGATGAGAGAGTGGCCCTGTTAGGGATGGAGACGGTGGCAGATGAGGGGATGGAGGAGATGGTGTGCCCCGGGGTGGAGGAGGTGGCAGTGTATAATTCAAAAAAGCGTGTCGTCGACTCTTGATCTGCCATTGCTGCAATTTCGTGTGGATATTCTCAATCAGTGCGATAATGGGTTACTCTTGATCTCTCTTGAATAATGCATTAAGAGACTCTGCGTTGTTTAACGTCATCATCTTGCATCGAAGTCCTTGAAAATATGAGCGCGCCCAATGTTCAATCCTCATTTTCGTTAAATAGTCCCATGCCGAGAATGATTTGCTTTCTATTTCAACCATGTACCTATTACACTCTTTAATACTATAAGCTTCGGCTGCTCTTCTGAACAGTGAAACGATGCCTTTGCTCCGATACATGGTCTTCAAGTTGCCTTGTATATGGTACATGCAATATACATGATGTGCATCGGGAAAAACTTCAACAATACTATTTATTATAGACTGTCCCCGATCGGTTACAAATGCAAGGTCTTTGACTTCTCCGATTACTTTCTTGAGCTTTGTGAAGAACCAACGCATCGATAGATAATTCTCGTTATCAACTCTGCCGAGTGCAAGAAGGTAAATTTGGATATTGACATTTTGACATGTAGCAATAATCAGCTTGCCTTGGTATTTGGATTTCAGAGTTGTGCCGTTGACTAGAATTAGGGATCGCATAGCATTTTGAAATCTCCGAATGCATTGTTAAAGAAGAAGAATTTGAAGCAGTTCTCGGCCTTCGTCTCAATAAAAAATGCTGAGTCAGGATTAGTTTTCTCCATGTTATGGCAATACTGGCCAATTTAGCATAATTTTCTTCTGCCGAGCCCATTAAATCCTCCAACACACATTCTTTGACCTTCCAGGCTTTCTAGTAGCTTATGACTACTCTGTACTCTCGACGAACATCGTTAATGATGTCCGATGGTCTGTAGATTGTTTGTGGATCCTAATACTTGTGTATTATCTGTCGACCAATAAATTAAACTCGGGCTTGCCTGTGATTATTGCGAGTATATTTGTGAATTACGAAGCACTCATCGTGTCCATCTTTGTCTTTCGCAAACGCCAATCGCAACGGTCATCTACGCATGATAGCTTCAACAACGACATATTCTATTTTTTCACTCTAAACTCGAAGTTGTATTTCAGTGCAATAAAGTGCACGGCTTCTTGCAAATCTTTCTTCGTTTCAAACAGTTGCTCGACATACAAATCCTCATTATCGGGAACCACACGTGAGAAGTTAGAGGATGGTCCACTCGATCTAGCCCTCGAGGTCCCACCCACTCATGTCTCTGTCGGGATAAAGCAATTAATTCCTCGTTTGTAAAAGTATTTGCATTTTCATTCTCGTTGTCACGAGTTGTAGAGGGAATTCTGTGTGCAACTGTTTCTGAAATAACCATATCATCTTCACGAGTTATCTCTACCGTATCCCAAAAATCATTAGCATTGTGATCCCTACCTCCCGAGTCTACTTGTTCATCTTCGACGACATCGTTCCTCACTAAAATTAAACAAATAGGAGTTGTGTGCTTTTTGTTCAATTCAATCAGATAATTCACTTCATTAACAGAAGAAATCATTATAGGTGGAATCGGAACTGATGCATTCTCGCTAAATTTAAATTTCAATCCCATATTGTACTGAGAAGGATCAACATTCAACTTGTTCTGTAAATCATTATAGAGTTCTGCATACGATGTACCTAATGATATGAAAATTGCAATACCACCACGTTTAGCACTTGTCCATTTCCATACCCATTGATTTCTTTCATCCAATTAGAAATAACTAAAGTAACAAATTGGGACTACAACCATATCTGCATGTCGAAACAAAATTTTTAATTACAAAAAAAATATCAGCGACAATAAAAATAACTCAAAAAAGGGAAAAAAAGAAAACAGTTGACAAACAGCTGGCTGTTTGACCAACTGTTTATCCGGCTATTTATAACAGTCGGCTAAATAGCCAATCAAAAAGTCGACTGTTTATACGACTGTTTAACAGTCAATCAAACAGTTGACTGTGCTGTTAATAGCCGGTCAAACAGTCGAATCACCGGCACGTGTCGGACTGTTGTTAACACTCAACAATCATCAGGCAAAGTGTATGCAGATGAATTTTTTCTGATCAAATGTTTAAAAAATTATAGATCTATTAAATTTTTTTATCTACATTACCATTAAATGTCGAAATATAATTTATCGATTTAAACGTATAATAATTTAATGAAAACAAGATTAAATTTGCGTATATAAACTTATTGAACCGACAAGATTGATGTCCACAAATTTTTCGACTTGCAATTTTGATAATTTTTTTAGTTTCTGCGGTTGAAACAGATGAAAAATAAGAGTATTTTATTTATCTGTATTGGAATAAACAGATAAAAAAAGTAGAAAGTGTTTGATTTTTATATGTTAAGTAAAAATATATTGATATTTTTTTAAAAAATCAACTTTTATAATTGTATAATATATTTAAGGATATTTTTATCTTTTAATATTAAATAGTATTAAGTAGGCCATTTTCACAATTTCCCACAAGTAAATGTGGAATTTTGGTGAGTTTACTAACTCAATTATAGAAGTACCCCTGTTTTAGCTGTGGTGCAAGACGCTGGACTTTTCCCTAAAAACTTCCCTTTCCTTTTCCTTCCATTCTCTCTCCTCGTTTTGTAATCCCTCATTCAACATGACAACAGATTCCATTTCTGCACCAAATCCCAGTTCAACTTCGCTCAACACCGATCATTCGACCAACAAACGCGAAAATGAATTCAACGATTCCAATTCTGCATCCAAAAAATCAAAATACGAGAACGAATTGAAGACCTGTAGTGCCAAAGGTGAAGCATCCAGTACAAGGGGTTCGAAAATTGAAGAAAAGTTGTTCGCAATAGAAGCGGACGCGGCTGAAGATAAGGGCTTGCGTCAAACCATGGAGGACGCTTGGGTTGTTCTCCACGACGCCAGATTGGATTTCACCGGAAAGTTGAGGTACAATATCTATACTTCTCCTCTTTTCATCACTATCACTTTTTGTATTGATTATTATTGTAGGAAATGCGCATAGACTCATAGAATTACTGTTATCGTTGAATTAGTTTTAAAATGAATCATGCAGTACTCCACATTTATTTTATCCTTGCTCGACTTTGAGAATTACTTATTTTGTCGGATGTTTTTGTTTATGCGTGTGTATTCTAATTTTTAAAATCTTTACACGCTCGACTTTTAGGTATGTGCTATTTCTTGTTTACATTCATTTTGTGTGTGCGTGTTTCTTTAGATATTTGAAATATTTACCGAGGCTCTATTTGTTTTTCTCTTTTTCCCATCACTATTTCAAATTTTCAGATGACGCCATTTCTTATTTTATTTATCGATTATAATCGTAAACAATGTATATAGAACTACTTTTTTCTTTTTTTTCTTTTTTTTCTTTTTTTTATTTTCCCCCTGTAATAGTGTAAGATGAGTTAGTAAGTGAAGTTCTTCACATTTATTTTATCGCCACTTGACTTTTGGAATTAGTTATTTATCAGCTTTACTGGGTTTTTGTTCATGTGTGATATTTTGACTTTTTACACCCTCAATTTTAGGTATGTGGTATGTTTTGTATTTCTTTCTTGATTTCTCTGTCTGTAGTTTCTTAAGAAATATTCATGGGCTTCTAATTGCATGTCTGTGCTTTTGTTTTTCAAATTTTGATTTGTTTCTGGATTTTTAGATGTGCACATTTTGCGATATATGATGGCCATGGAGGTCGGTTAGCTGCAGAGTACGCTCAGAAGCATCTTCATGTTAATGTTCTTTCAGCGGGCTTATCACGTGAGTTGGTCTGTTTGTTGAGAATTTAGTGTTGTAATTATAGCTCGACTTTTTATTTTAGAAAACTGCTATATTTTACGTTTCATTTTGTAATTGCCCTTTTACGGTTTGGCATTTAATGAAAATTTTCAGTTGGATGTTAAGTGTTCAAAGAAGGCTATACTCGAAGGTATGCCCTTATTCTAATTTGCATTTAAGATCTAGGTTCAAGGCTATAGGATTAGTTTGAGCACTCAAAGTAACATTTTACCTGATAAGAAGTAATAATTTGAATTCCTGTCTTTCTTTACAGGATTTCGAAAAACTGACGAGGTTCTCCTCCAGGAAAGTGCTGCAGGTATTGTTCATATTCCTTTTCGAAAATTGCTTCTAATGTTTAAATCTATAGAAACTATGATGGCATATGGTTCAAATAATTTAATTTCATCTTGAAGACTTCCAAGTTCGACGTGATCTAGATTGAAGTATTGAACTACTTTCTATACATGAAAACATTACTGTAAATTTTTGACTTTATTTTGAAATGTTATGAATTGAAAAATGTTATTGAACCATGATTGTCTTGTGCGGTACCATTGTGTATTATCATGAGACCTTTTCTTTAATTCATTGTGGCATTAGTGTTTCTCTCTAGAGTAAAAAGTTAAACGAGCTATGCTTGAAGCTTTTGGTTTGGTGTGGAAGGGTCTTAGTAGGCTAATATTCATTCAGAATAAGAACTGCTCTGAGTATTCAATGATTTGAGAAATTACCTTTTTGGGGCTATAGTTAGGTCGCAGATCTTAGTCATAGTTTCTTCTTCTAGAGTCTTTCCCCACCATCTGTATATTTTCTGGATCATACTCTTCATGATCAATAGTTTCTTCTTCTAGAGTCTTTCCCCACCATCTGTATATTTTCTGGATCATACTCTTCATTATCAATAATGTATCAGTATCTTATTAAGCCCCTGTTTGTTTTGGATTAAAATCCAATTAAAATCTCAATTCAAAGGCAACATTAAATTTTAACCACATATTTCAAGGGACCCACAACTTTTCAACCACACATTTCACAAAATTCTATCAAAAATCTAATTTTAATCTCCACCGAACACTCTTTAAAAAAGTGCTTCCAATTTTCGAAGTTTGTATTTCCTTCTACTGTTTTTAATCCTCTGAATATTATCAAATTTTTATTTGTTATTATTAATTGTCTGTTTTTGACTGCCTATGGCTAACTCTTTGTCAAATGCCACAAGCCTGTTAACTTTTTACATTCATCATAGGGGGATGGCAAGATGGTGCTACGGCTGTATGTGTCTGGGTGTTAGGACAAACAGTAAGTTCCATCATGGACTATGCATGAACAAATTTATATTGTTCTCTGCTCTTCTATGACATATATAATCAAATTCAGTTAAAAGTTTCATAATATGCAATCATTCGTGCTCTAATATTTTGATCTGTTGACATTCATCTATCAATTCAACAAGTAAGATCATATATAGAATACATTTCCGGAAGGAAAGAGAGGGAAATTTATCGGGGAATTGAAAAGAATTTTTAATTATTTTAAGAGAGGGAATATTGTGGATAAGTAATACAAAGACTGCTTATTTTGACCTTCGATTGACTCAAAGTCTGCTTTCAAATCACATACAATCAAGGGCGAATCAAGGGCTTAATTCCAATTGTACAGCAAATATCTTTTGTTGTATTTGTTTGTAATTTATTATAAATGAAAGGCCAAATAGACTGAAAGATTATTCAGAAAATTGGTATGGTACCAGAGCCCTAAAATTCTCTCACCTGTGGCTGTCCTTGTGTGTTGTCGGGTTCTACTGTGTTGTCGGCGCTAGTTTCAAACTCTCTAAGGTTGGATTTCAGTCATGGTAGCTTATTTCAGCATCGTCGATGGTCACTGCTTGCACTTCTAGCATCGTCTCAGTGTTCAGGGAGTTGGGCTGTCTTTATGAGTATGAGTTTTGGGCTTGATTTGTTTGGTGGGTTATATTTATTTGGGCTCAATTTGTTGGTGGAATCTAATTTTGTTTGGGCTTAATTTCTGGGGTCTGATTAATTTGGGCTGAAATTCATGATGTCAACTGAGAAAGCTGATGGCAAGGACTATTTTTCATGGGCATTTCACTTTACTGCTAATACACTTCCTATTTATTATCCTTTGATTGATAAAATTATATGATTACCTTTCAAAAAAATATATATACATATTTCCTTAACATAGGGGACCATTACATATTTTTATTTTCGTTTCTCCCCTTATTTGACTTTTTTACTTTTTTTGCTCCCATTTTTCATGATCAATTTAAACTCAGCACCAAACATTAGAGTTGGATACCTGTCTATAAACAACTGTCAAACTAAAGAGTTATCCACTGACATGCTAGACAAGACCACACACACATCAGCTTTCATGTACTCCTCTCTCCCTTAAACTTTAAAATTTTAAAAATGAGGGGAAACTATTGAGATATATATGTATTTTTCTTGTAATTATCTTCATTGGAAACCCAGAGAGATCAAGTTCTGTGGTGAAAATTGAGAGATATCTAAGGAAATAAAAGGTAATGCTCTTCAATTCTTTTTCAAACTATAGCTCTTTTGTCATTTAATGTTTTGGTCTCCTGAAATGGTCTGCAATGTTTCTCTTCCAATATCTTGGACCCAAAAGGGATCCAACTACAAGTCATGCATAGAAAAAAGACCACCTCAAATTAGTCACGCCTGTGGTTTTCTATTATATGCTGATAGGAATTTGGTGCTTTCTTATGAGGAAGGGTTTGAAAGAATAGTTCAAAGGTAACTGTATATGTGCGACATGTCATTTGTTTGTTGTCCTGTACTAGGGCTTGTTAAATCTTTCTGTTAAATGCCATTTAGTTTATTGATAGTTCATAACTTTTTGGTGATTTACATCATGTTATTCATTGGTTTATATTTACTTAGTGTTATATGGATTTTGGGCTTGTCGCATAGCCTTCTACGTGGCATCTTGCTGTCTCTAGTTCTCAAAAAAAAAAAAAAAAAAGAAAGCAATTCCCAGCCCGATTCTTGGTTAATGTTGTTAATATTACTGTAAAATGGCGTGTGGTCTGACCAATCCCAGTTCATTTAGTTTGGACCAGACCTTTGATTTTTGTTTCTCTTACTTTCGTCATGTGGAGTCTGGTAGACTGCATCCCAAGTGTTGCTATTATGATGAAAATAAATCCTAGAAAATTGAAAGAAAGTGTTCCAGTTCTATTGATCTTTAATTTGCTGTAATTTACTTTTTTATTATTCTCTAAATTTCTGTACTGTTATTGTTATATAACCATGGAAGAATCTTTCTTTGGGGATATGAAATATTAGATTAACGACTTTAGTTGATATCTTGAAATATGCATATACATACAAGCATGTAATCATATTTATGTATTTATGTAGCTTGACTGTGTTTGTTAGAAGTAAAATTGTGCCTTGCTTTTGGAAAAATCTTTGTCTGTCTCTTAGATATTATTAGGTTACATATATCTGTCATGAAGGTCTTATAATTTTGTTACTATGTGCTATTTAGGTGTTTGTTGCTAACATTGGAGATGCTAAGGCTGTGGTAGCACGTTCATCTATAGTAGATGGTTCACAGAGTGATTTGGATGGATTAAGCTCATTAAAGGCCATTGTTTTGACACGGGAACACAAAGCCATATATCCACAAGAACGAGCACGCATTCAAAAGGTGAGTACTGTGCTCATTGGTGAAATCTTCTATTTATACATGTAATTTTCTCTCCTTATATGAACTCTATAATTAAGAAATCAGGTCTACTTCTGTAGTCATGATGGAAGGCTACATGATCTATTTTTCCCCCCTCCTTTTCCCTTTCTTCGATGTTTGTGTTTATTTTTAAGACAGGCAATATGAGCTGGATACACTAGCATCCGGATTTCACATTTTGAAATCTAAATTATCCCATGTTTGCTCAAATGGAAGTCTAGTTTGTGTGATGAAATTGTTAAAGCTGATCCATTTCAACCTCCTGATGAATCGTCCGAACTCATTTTCGCCTTACAGAGTTGTGATTCTTTATCCTGAAACTGATGTAGTTAAAAGTGTTACCATATATATTTGGGTTATATTTGGAATAGATAAGATATATTATTTTGGAGATTGCAATTTATTTTTTTCCTTGTATACTATAAGATTGTGTATATATATACAATAGGGCAACACAAAAAGAGGTAGAGAAAATTTTCAGAAATTATTCGAGGTCTTTTGATATGGTATCAGAGCCGTGATTTTTTTCTCGCACCTGGACTCGCGTCGTCTTCTTCGCATCCTCGTTAGTGTGAACTCCGGCCGTGCACGATGGCTCTTTCCGATTCTGGGCTGTGTGGATTCCGACCCTCTGCGTTGCCTCTTTCTGATTCTGGTGGTCCTCTCGAAGCTTTAGATCGGGTCCTTGCCAGTTAGGTTGACGCGACTCCGTTTCTTCAGTCATCGGAGTCGTCATTGGTAGATTTGGCCTCCTCTCTTCTCTGCTCCTCAAGTTCGCACAGGGGTCTTCGGTAATTTGGTTGGCTGGTGACTGTCGGTGGTTTCAGTGGAAAAGGTGAGCGTGTTTTGGGTTTCAAGTGGAATTTTTTTTTTGGATTACGCAGTGTTACAGATTGGACCTTAATTGGTGGGGCCTTTCTTTTCAATTTTTTTCTGGTTTCACTTGGTTGGTTCGGGTTAGTTACTTATATATTTTAGTTGGATAATTTATTGCGTCATGTCGTCGGATAAATTGGAACTATTTTCCATTTGTTTTAATGGGAAAATTACTCAGATTGGGAATTTCAATTTTAATTATTTGTCAAAGGAAAAGAGTTATAGGATCATCTTGATGGAAGTGATCCGCCCCCTAAAGATGATAAAGAGGCTTTGTCTAAATGGAAGATCAAGGATGCTTGGGTTATAGCCTCTCTTAGCTCAGTTGAACCTCATCTGGTTCTCAACCTACGACCTTACAAGACTACTACTGAAATGTGGGATTACCTTAGTAAGGTTTACAAAAAGGACAACACGGCCCATCGATTTCAGTTGGAATATGAGTTGGCTAATTTTACATGGGAGTCTCTCCATTGAGAAATATTTTTCTGGTTTCCAAAATCTTTGGTCTGAATATTCCGATATTGTTTATGCTAATGTTCCTATTGCGGTTCTATCTGCCGTTCAGACAGTGCACGAGACAAGCAAAAGGGATCAATTCTGTTACCGTATATATTTGGGTTATATTTGGAATAGATTAGATATACTATTTTGGAGATTGCAATTTATTTATTTCCTTGTATATTATAAGATTGTGTATATATATGCAATAGGGCAACACAAAAAGAGGTAGAGAAATTTTTCAGAAATTATTTGAGGTTTTTTGATAAAAAGACCTCAAAAAGTTTCCCTCCCCTGGTCAAAATCATATCATCAACAACGATTAAGATAATGACTCTTTTAGAACCTTGGAATTGGATTACACACGTGGAGGTATCAGCCTGCGTAGCCAGAAATCCCCACTGTCATAGAGTGGACTCAGCTTATGAAACCACACCCCACCCTAGGCACCTGCTTGAAACCATAGAGGGCTTTCTTGAGCTTGCATATATTCTGTGGGCAATGAGAATCATTAATCCCTGTGGTTGAGTACATACACAGTTTCATACAAATCACTGTTCAAGAAGCATTGTGTACTTCCAAGCCCCACAGTCTCTAAACACTCCATTTGTTAAGTTCTTGTGTAAGAACAATCTGTATTCAATGTGCTTAAGGTTTCAAAATAATCAATGCCGTAGGTTAATGAAACCCCTTGGCAACTGGTAGCTTTATATGCCTATTTGCAACCCATAATACAAGCATCATATAGTGGAGGAACAAAATTCCAAGTGTTAATTTTGAACAAAGGGATCTTACTGTAGGGGTATTTCGGCCTGTCGCTCCTTACAACTGCTAATCTCCTTAAAGTTTTGAGGTCCTCTTGGGGTAGACCAACATCATCTTAGTAGAAAAGGGCCTTTGTCTTAGAGTGCCCTGCCTTGGCTTGAGCATAGGTAATTGTTGCCTTAGTTATAGTTAAATACATCTTGAGCAGTTAACATGCAGGTGGTGTTACTGATGGAAGTGACTCATGTAGGTTGAACTGATGGATCTTTGGCCTGAAATAGACTCTATATTGGTGTGAATTAAGCTAGGAGGATTCGGTGAGTGATCACAAAGTGGAGGATTAACATTTAGAGTAGACATAATCGCTCAATTTATTGATTTATGGGATGGACTTCAAACGTGAGACGATACCATTCTAGGATTTGAATCTTGAGGTAAAGGGAATGCATTGAATTTGCTCCACCAATGTATTTGAGTATGATCATGGACCGATTGTGTTTAGAAGTGAAAATTTGTTTCAGGAAATACAACATGTCTACAGACAGAGAGTCTTTTTGTAGTAGTCTAAAGACGCAAGTGTATATGCTGATTTTGTTAATTGGCTTGAGTAACCTCAGTTGAGGTTTGCTTCTCGTTTAATAAATCTCCTATGCTTGGAAGGCAGGATAGAATCAAATCTCCTATTTTAGGAATAAGAGTATATTTGGACATGAACTAGTGGCTATAGTCAGATAGCTTTGGTAAAGACATCAACTGTTTGCTTTTTGGTGGAGATGTGAGGTACATAAATCCCATGGCGATGGCAATCTATCTCAATATGTTTGGTACGCTCATTGAAAATCATATTACTTGCAATCTGAATAACACATGTATTAGCAACATGAGGAGTAGTGGGATAAACGTGGGGAACGCCAATTTCTCCTAACAAACCTTGATGCGATAAGATTCCGAAATTAGATGACATGGCCCGATATTTAAACTCAGTGGAAGACTTGAGTTGCTGGCTTGCTTCTTACGTTTCCAAGAAATATGACCACCACCAAGAAAAATACACCAACCGATGATAGAAGGATGAGTATACTAGCCTAATTTGCATCACTATATTTCACCAAACTTGAAGTTTCAAAAGGAAAGAACAAACTGTGTGGCCATAGGTACCTTTGAGATAGTGACAAGGACGACAAATAGAAACCAAATGGGTTTGGCATGTAGCTTACATAAACTGATTGATTTGTTGGACAAAAAAAATAAAAAAAAAATATACCATGTCTCATAATGGTCAAATAATTCAAGTTCTTCACCAACTGTCGATACATCAAAGGATCAGATAAGGGGTGCCGCCCTCTTTACTCAATTTCAAATGGTCAAATTGTTGTCTCGAAGATCGCCTAAGGCAAGAAGCTCTTGTGTATACTAATGCAAGTGCAAAAGCGTGTTCTTACAACAATGTCGTACCTTAAGTTTAAGAAAATATTGACTAGGTCCAAGATCTTTCGTATGAAACAAGGATTTGAGTTGTAGTTGGAGTTGTTCAATCTACTATAGATCAGACCTTATAATACTGTAACAATATCATCAACATATATAAGTTGTATAACAATTCTAGTAGCAGTCATGCTAAAAAAGAGGAGTTATTGACTTTTAGTAAAAGTGAATCCAGAAGAGTAGTATGAATTTTTGAATCACGCCCATGGTGCTTGCTTTCTTTGAACTATAGAAAGAGCGCTTTAAGCAACAAACCTCATTATTAGAATGAGAAACATGCTAGGAGGAGTCATAAAGATTTCTTTCTTCATATCACCATGTAAAAATGCATTCTTCACATCCATTTGATGAAGTAACCATCCTTTCAAGGCAACAATAACAATAATAGGTGGACAATAGCCATTTTGGTCGTAGTAGCAAATGTTTCCTTGTAATCAAAACCATACTCATGGCAATTTTTGAGTGCTACCAAATGAGCTTTATAAACCTTAATAGAGCTATCAACATGCAACTTGGTGTAAAGCTATGTATGCCTAAAAAGCTTAACTCGAGTAGGCTAAAAAAAATGTCCCAAGTATGATTTTCTTGAAGAGCTTGAAGTACATCTTGCCTAGTTTCTCACTAACACTCTCGAGTAGAAGCCTAAGAGTAAAAGTTAGGCACAGAAGTAGCATCAAGAGTAGACTGAAGAGTATAATGAGAAAACCGATATCTATTAGGATTTTGTGAACCCGAGCAGAATCACAAGGCTCATGCAAGACTAGATCAAACTTTGATTCAAAGATAGGTGTTGACAAAGGGCATCATCGTTGACATACAAGACCTGGTTGAATGCAATTAGACTGACCATTAAAAGAAGGGAGAAAGTTGAAGAAATAGGATTGGGACGGGATCAAATAATATAGATTTTCAAAGAAGACCACATATAGAGGGATATGAAGCTTGTTAGTATCTGCATTATACACACAAATCCTTTTATAAGAATTACCATAACGAATGAAAGTACACTTAACCACTTGATTCGGAAGTTTATGAAGTTGAGGAGGTAAGTGAATAAAGCAATGTCACCAAAGACACGAATATAATTATAGTGAGGAATGCCAAATCAACAAGAACACGGAGAATCAAATGTAAAGTAGGGCACGCCTATTCAAATTTACGGTCGTAGATAATGCTTCTACCTAAAACCTAGGAGGTACAAAGGATTAAAGCATCAAGTTATAAATCACATCCAAAAGATCGATTCTTACACTCTGCTGCTCCATTCTGTTAGGGGTAGGGAGACATGAACACGGGGAGAGGATGCCCTATTGTAGAAAAGAACAAAAACCCGAGATATGTTCTTATAAGATTTTAATATATGCATAAAATTGAGTTTTCACGTAGGGGAAAAAAGAAGCTTGGAAGGTGGAAACCACATCAGCTTTAGAATGAAGAAAATAGACTTGAATGAAACGGCTATAATCATTAATAAATATCACAATGTACATGTAATGAGCATTTGAAAGAACATAACTTACACCCCAAATATCATTATGAATGACCTCAAAGCATGTGGAAACACAATTACCTTGGTGGGGAAAACGTAAAGATTTGTTTTTGCCAAGCGCACAAGATGCACAATTAGTTAAAGTTCCATGTTTCACAATGTGTCAAAATAAAAGAATTGGCAAGACCTAATTTTTTATGCCAACGATGGTTATTATTAACTGTAGAACAACTGATATTAACTGAATGAGGAACAAAAAATGACTGGAATTTTAGGCCCTGTCGCTATCATTTGCCCCGACATTTGATATGCACGCGTTTACTATCACGATCAGAGTGAATAGCACAATTATCTTCTACCAATTGCCTGCCCTAGTGAGATTAAATTGGTAGATAAATGAAGAGATACAAAAACATCAGTGGATGAAGACCCTAAATAATCGACTGCAGTTACAAAAAGGGTATTTCCATTGGCTACCTGAATATGCTACTTAACGTCATACTTATGAACATCATGCAAAGTTTCCAATTTCCAAGTCATGTGATTGGAAGCCACATAGTCAATTAACCAAGAGAGGTAAGAATGTGGCTTATCATGTAGACTAAAAGCAAAGAGAGCTTAAACAATCATATGTTGAACTTGCTCGGGTGTAAGAGCGGAAAAACCAGGTACAGTAAGTTGGTTGGAAGCAACGGTCATAGCAGTGTGGAAGAGAGAATTGATTCTGATATTGTATACGGCAGTCCTTAATGATATGACCTTTTTTGTAATAGTTGCAGAACTTCTTGCTGCAATATTTAGCAATGCGTACAAAATCCTTACACTACAATACTGTGACTGCGATTTGGATTGTCCTTTACCTCAAGCAACATAGACCACAGTGATCATTTCAGTAATAATAGTATCTTGATTTGATTATGTTCAAGGAGGTGAGATGTTCACACAAGATTTTTCGAAGGATGTGATATGTTTGAGATTGATTAACCAAACTCATACACTTTCAAACTCAGACCACAACTTCATCAAAAAATTGATCTCGTTGACTTTCAGAATGAACCTCTTGCAGGGAACCTTAGATTGCACCAACCTAGAATAATCACTTTATAAATTAAAAAATCCAAAGTAAAATATTTCAATAGACATATTTCGTTGACGATAGTTGCCGAGGTCTATCTCCAATTGAATATTTTGGGTAGAATTATCTTGATGCATCGAAAGTAATTTCATGTATTTCCTTGACAGTAGTGAATGAACGAATATTGTTGATCTAATGTGGCTTAACAAAAATGAGTAGCCAAGAAACAATCTAGGCTTCCTTCCATTCCCATGAACTAAGTTCCTTGGGATCAATCATAGTAGGAGAGGACTCATCCAAATGATTCCAAAGTTCCTTCCCATTTACAAGCATTCTGAACTGGAATTTCCTACTGGCATAACTTTTGCCATTAAAATGAACTGTGGATCTTCTCCCGACATAATATTGCTGAAATTGACTCAAATTATAACAGCCCAAACACTCGACATTTATCACAAATCAGTTACCCAAATCGCAGGCGATAGCTTCAGCAAGGGATTGCCTCCAAAAATGCTTACTGAACCACAAATGTCAGCTTCCTCAAAGGAAATTGCTGACTGTTCCAGAAAAACAGCGACAAATGCCGGCTGCTTTCAAGAAATTTAGGTTGTCTCAAATACAAAACTGACCCTTCAAGATGCGCACAGAAAGTGAAGAACTGAAGAAACCAGGAAGTATACTGGAGAAATCATAACTTTCGAGAAAAGAAGTTATCTAAATAAGGGGCTCTGTTACCATGTTAATTGGTTTGAATGACCTCAATTGAGGTTTGCTTCTAATCCAATAATCAAACTACAGCCTCTAAATAATGTAAATTACAGATAAATTTCCTACATTAGAATGGTATAATTATGTGCAATAATAGTATCAAATCTTCTATATTAGGAAGAATATAGAATCAGGTCTCCAATATTAGAAGTAGAGTGTGCTCGGACTGCTCATTGACAAATTTGAAGTCTCTTGGTTGTTTATTGTAGTTTATGCTGATTTTGGGGTCAAATGAATGGAAAACAGGAACAGCAATTGCCTGTAGGTTGGTGTAAGTTGGAAACATATGATGCAATTTTCAAAAGGAAACTTCAGTTTCATGTAAGTGTAGTGGGAGAAAGAAGACTGATCAAATAAAAATTTGGAGAGGATGCGTAAGGCCAATAATTTAAGGGCACAAGTTAATAGCAGCTTGTCTATTTCTTCATTCAATTCAACCATTATGCTGTGAAGTATATGGACAAGATACTTGATGTTGGATACCAAGTTTTACTTTGATCAGCACGTTCAATGAGTGTTTGATTAAGTTAAAGTGATATGGAACTGTACATCTGGAACGGGGGATTTGTAGGTGAAATCTAAGAGATTGTTTTTGATTCCATGGCTGATCGATTAGCTCTAATACCAAGATGAAGTATAGATTTTTTGAGATAGATGAACAAAATGCAGATTGTAACACAGGATTTGTATACAGAGAATTGGGGATGATGGCCGAAGTTTCTGGCAATGGAATGGGGAAAATGAATTGCAGTATATATGCATATACACACATCTAAGTAATAGGCATGTTCGAAAAACATAATTATACAATACAAGAAATATGACTATGGTATAAAACATAAAGATAAAGAATGCACAACTCACACACATCTTAATCCAACAAAATCTATTACAAGTTGCACATAAACTTATTTATTGGAGGACCAAGTGTTATCTGCCAGTAGAATGCTATGATTTACAATTGTCTTTATTTAAAGATTTATTGCAACTTATCTATTCCATGTCTATCTATAAACATAGTTATGTTTATCCATTCTTTTGCTAATATAATATAGTTGCTTATTCTGTAGGCTGGTGGATCTGTAAGTTCTAATGGACGACTTCAGGGGCGGCTTGAAGTTTCTAGAGCTTTCGGTGATCGGCAGTTCAAGAAGGTTCTGCTAGCCTCTTTCTTTTTCTTTTGTTTTTCTTTCCCTATAACCCATTGTTTCTCCCATGTTACTTCCTCGTATCACGTGTTTCAGTCTGTTACTTCTATATTCTGGACATTTTGCTTCTATTTCATCTCCTTCCCTTCTGGGATTGAGGAAGGACAGTTGGAGTGGCATTTGATACTCGAGCTACTATGATTATTCTCGGATTAGCACTGAGGAACATCTTTCTTTGTTTGAAATTCTAATGATTGGTAGAATGCCTAGAGCTTTCCTGAGGTGTTGCATTTCGATTCACACTGGTCTTGGACATACCGGACGGATTAATAAAAGATTGGAAAGTAAAAAGCAAATAATGTAGATCTTGTTGTCTGGGAATCCTCAATATGTTTCAAAGAATCTATTTTTCTCTTTATTACATGCTTATATAAGAGGACAATGTAAATTTTTCAGGTTGGTGTTGTTGCAACCCCAGATGTTCATTCATTTGACCTGACTCAGAGAGATCACTTCATGATTCTTGGCTGTGATGGCTTGTGGGGGGTATAGCTCCAATCTATTAATTTGTGTTTGTGCTAGATCTAGTCTTCAAATCTTTCTTTTCAATTTTTTACTATTACGAATTGGATTTTTCTCCGACTTTTAGGTGTTTGGACCTAGTGATGCTGTTCAATTTGTCCACAAATCATTGAAGGTTTGTCAACATTTATGTGCATTTTATATTTTATTTTATTTTGGGTCTTGGATTAGGATGCAGCAAACTGACTGCGGTTATTCCAACCCACCCATGCTTAAAATTAAACAGCAAGTAAAAGAAGAGACAGGGACTTCACCAGCACTGTATTCACTATTCAGAAAATTTTCCATAAGTTGCTAATAATTCCCATCTATGGGGACAGTTTCTTAGAAATGCATTTAAGAATTCATCTGATCTGAGTTTTTCTGTCTTCTTTCTTGAAATATGTGATTTTGTAGTATTAATGTAACAAAATTAATTTGTATTAACATATATTTTTCACGTTTAAGTTGTGGACTCATATTAGTAATGTCTATTATAATTCTATCAACCTGGGGAACTTTTTCCATGTAAAACCATAAAATTTCTCAAAGGCATGGGGTGGGCATTTGGTTGGCTACAATTTCTCAATAGAGAATTTAAAGGAAGAATGTGAAGGCTTTACTCTGTTGTACCATGTATAACAAATTACATTGGTGACAGGAGGGCTTACCAGCTGCAGCAGTAAGTCGCCGGCTTGTACGAGAAGCTGTCCGTGAGCGCCATTGCAAAGATAACTGCACAGCAGTTGTCATTACATTCCGAAAGGTCCAGTGAAAACTATCAACATTGTTTTGAATCTTACTGACCTGCGTCCCATGATCAAGGTGGGTGGATTTGTTCTTGCATATTTATTGTTCAATGAATGTATCTTCTGTGGTATTGTTCCATTTTGGATCATGACTTGAAAATGCCACAGAAGTTTGTGATGTGTAACTTGCTGCTTGTTGGATATTGTGATGTGACCGTGTCATATTGGCATCCCATTTTCTTTATTCTTTCTATTGTAGGATTTTTATCTGCACTGGATCATAAATTATTTTCACCCGTAAATGTCTGTTGATTGATTTTCAGAACAATGTTTGCTGTGCAGTTATATCTCGTGATGTTTTGCCATAAAAATTACATCATTTGTAAACTCCTCTAGCCGAAAGTCTATCTCGTAATAATTGAAATCTTATCACATAAGTGCATATCCCTTTTTTTTTTTTTTTTTTTTTTTTTTTAAATTGGAACAAGTTAGACTATATTCTTCATGATTATTGACAAGATATAGGCAGGGCTTCTGTTATTACGGGCATTGACATCTTATTAATGAAGGAATAAAATCATTTTTACTGTGATTAAATCTAAACATGAAGATTTCATGAGGATGCAACGTTGCTGATTTCAATAAAGTCTGTAGTGTTTGGCTAAGCTTTCAAAATAAGTTTATGTGAAATAAGTAAACTTCTCTCATCCCTCATTGTGTAAAGCTTAATGACTTTCTTCCTCAACCCTCTAATGAGGTTCCCATCTGAGAGGTAATTTTGTCATGGCTTTGTACACGTGGATGCCTGGTTTGTAGACAGTAGTGGTGTATTCCCTCATGCTTTATTACTTGGATTATTCTTGTTGTACATTGGTGTGTACATAATGGACACCCTTATGTACATGCCAATGTACGTGTAGCAAAGTCCTTATTACTTAGCCTAATCCTCAAGGTAGGAAAGAACGAAGCAAGAGTGCTAAGAGAGATAATAAGCTGCGCTTTACTTCGGGTGAGTGCTTTTTCTGTGTATATTTGGCATTATTTTGATACAAATTTAAATGAAATTATGTCATTATACTCAAAAGTTATTTTATTTAGAAGTAAGAAAAAGTTAAAAGTTCGGTGTAAACATAGGAAACCATGTTTACAACTCTCAGCTTGAAAGTCTTAATTCTATCCATAAAACCACAATTTCTAATGAATGAATTTGGATTTGTAGTACTAATTTTTAATTATTTTGTACTGATCCTGCATTTTATGTTTTGATTGTTTGGATCTGTATAATGATTAAAATATGTATGTTCAGAAGAGGAATCCATTTGATGGATGTGAATTTGGGATAGAAAATGAACGGATACAAGGGATGTATCTGTCAGAGATGTTGTATCTCATGCATGAACCTTGTATTGTCAACTGTCCAATGAACAGACAATCAAAACTCTCTTTTTTGTTTCTTCTCTGTTTATTTTGGGTGTTAAAAAAAGATTGGGTTAAATACTGAAATGTATCGCTTAAATTACCAAACCTTTAGCATAGATGATGACCAACTTATAATGTTTTGGTTACATCATCGTATATGTAGCCGTTAGTCGATTTAGCAGATGTTTAGACTGTCATGGCAGATGGTCTTAAATGTTTGGTAAAATAATTTTTAGTCTATTTTATCATTTATTAAAAAGTCTTAAATGCCATTCATTTGAAATTTCTAATATATACAATTTCAAACCAAAATTTACCAAATTCGCCTAACGTGAATTCATACTTTCATTCTCACTTTTAATACTCAAAACGAACAAAAAAATGGCATGCTACCTTTTTAAATGACAGTGTCGTTTTAACAAATTTTAGGTTCGTTTAACTTTATTTTCTCTTGTATCCACATTCAAATTAACGAAAAACAAGTTTTAACTATATCTGTAGTGAAATTCAAAGTTCATGATCAAAAATGACATGATGTCGTTATAAATAATTTGATAATGTTTATACTAATTTTGTATTTATTTCATTTTATATTCTTTCGTACCGCACATGAAATTGAAATTAGAAAAGTTGTCACTACATTTAGAGTGAAATGGAGACCCATTACAAAAATGGCAAGTTGTCGTTTTAAATGATTTGGTGTCGTTTAAACTAATTACTTATCTGTTTCACATTATTATCACCCACATTTACATGAAAATGAGTGAATGTAAATTTTCATTACATTTGAACAACAATGTTGATACGAAGTTCAGGCGATAATGACCAAAATTATCGTTAGGGGAGTAAACTACACTATATTTAAATACAAAGAAGGTAATTAATCGAAGTTTCATTATATTACAATTATGAGATAAGTTACTGAACAAATTAGCTTATTTAACTTATGTAAAATTTCTAAGATTTTTTAAGATATGATCGTCTAATTTTGGAGTGAAATCGAGACTTCTAACAGAAAATGATATGTTGTCATTTTAAATAGTTGGATATTATTTAAATTATTTGTGTTCATTTTACTTCATGTTTACTTGTATATATATGAAGATGATCGAAATCAAGTTTTCACTACGTTTGAATATCATGACATTTAAAAAGTCCACCCGACAGTGATCCGTAATATTTTTTCGTGAGTAAACTACACTAAATTTCACTATGAAATAAAGTAACCTAAGTTCAATTTTATATCATTTAAGAGATAAGATACCTAACAAATTAACTTGTTTAACTTGTATGAGTCTTCCAAAATGTTTCAAGATATGATGAAATTTCTCCATAATTCAAAATGGCAGGCTGTCATTTTAAATGGCTAGGTACCATTTCAATTATTTTTATGTTTGTTTTACTTTATATTTACTCGTGTCCATAGAAAAATGAATGAATGCAAGCTTTCATTGCATTTCAATACCAAGATCGATAAAAATAAATTCACCTGATAATGATCAACAACATTGTTCCACAAGTGAACTGTACTTAGTGATGGCAAAAAAAACCTGGCACGTCCCCGAATGGGGCAAAAAAAACCTGCCCCGATGGAATGGCGGGGAGGGGGCAGGCAGGATGGGGCGTCTCGTCAAGGGGCACGAGGCTAGGCGGGGTGGGGGTGCCTCGCCCCGTGAATTTTTTTTTTTTTTAATTTCAAGTTATATTATTATTAGATAATAAAATACAAATGTAAAATTTTAATTAATTAAAAAAGAAATAAAATTTAGTCAAAACGTAATTTTATTTGAAATTGTTTAATTTTTAACATTGTTTATTTCAAGTGTTTATTTTGAATTTTAAAATTTTGAATTTATATTTTATTCTCTAATAATAACATAATTTGAAATTTAAAAAAAAAATAAATGGGGCGGGTCATAGGGAGCGGCGAGGCGGGGGTGCCCTGCCCCACTGTCATCCCTAACTGTACTAGACTTCACTACGAACAAAGGAGAGTATCATAAATTTCATTATATTTCAATTTTAGATAAGATAGTCAAAATCTTAATTTGTTTAACTTCATTAAGTTTTCTGAGACGTTCAAAAATATGATCGAATAGTTTAAAGTGAAATCAAGATCTCGCGACCCAAAATGGCATCCTAATATTTTAAGCTACTAGATGTCATTTCAATTAGTTTAGCATTCATTTCACTTTATATTTATATAAAAATTAAAAGATTTTTTAACTATATTTGAATACCAAGTTCAATACACAAGTTCGATACAAAGTTCATCCAATAGTGACCAACAATAGTATTTCATAAATAACTTACACTCTACTTCACTACGAGTAAACCTAAGTAATACAAATTTCATTATATTCCAATTGTGAGATAAAATACTCAACAAATTAGATAGTTGAACATAGACAAGTCTTCTAAGATGTTTCAAACAATGATCGACTAGTTTTGGAGTGAGATCAAGACACCATGATCTAAAACGATGTTATCTCCTTTTAACTAATTATGTGTTTTTCACTTTAAGTGAACGAATGTAAGTTTTCATTATATTTGGACACCAATGTCGATACAAAGTTCACGCAATAATAACCAAAACTATTGTTCCATGAGCAAACTACGCTAGACTTAACTACGAATGAAGGTAAGCAACCCAAATTCTACTATTTTCCAATTTTGAAATAAGATACTCATCAAATTAGTTTATTTAACTTGTATGAAGCGAGATCGGAGTAGGAAGACCATGAGCGGTGAAGTTCTTTTCCCATGAAGAAAGGCCTAGTCGAAGTAGAGGTACTTATGGCAGTCTGCTAAGATGTTCCAAGCTATGATCGACTAGGTTTGAAGTAAAACTGATACCACGTGACCCAAAACAGTATATACTGTATATTATCGTTTAAACGATTGGGTGGCGTTCCAACTATTTTTGTGTTCTTTCACTTTGTGTTCACTCTTATCCATATAAAAATAAACGAATGCAAGCTTTCACTACATTTGGATACCAAGATCGATGTAAAAGTTCACCAATAGAAATTAATGATATTGTCCCGTTAGTAAATTACACTAGATTTTGTTAAGAACGAAGGTAAGTAACCAAAATATTATTATATTTCAATTATGAGATAAGATACTCAACAAATTAGCTTGTTTAACTTGTATAAATCTTCTAAGATGTTTCAAAATATGATTAACTCATTTTGGAGTGAAATCGAGACCCCGGGATCTAAAGCGACATGCAGTCGTTTTAACTATTTTTTATTCGTTTCACTTTATATTCACTCGCATATAAAAATGAACGCGTGAAAATTTTCATTGTATTTAAATGTGAAGATCGATACAAAAGTTCATCCGATAGTGAGTAACAATACTGTTCTGTGAGTAAATTAAAATAAACTTTATTATGAAAAAAACACAATTTTCATTATATTTTAATTATGAGATAAGATACTCAACAAATTATAGTGAGTCACTTTATTATTCGGCTGGAAACTATACTACATTTCATTTGACAATAAAGAAAAACATAAATGGCAAGTGTAGTATGCAAAACATAACACGTGTAGTCGTTCAATATGTACAAAACATGTATGATGTTTAAAACACTGTTTTACTAATTTCGAAGTGAAATTGAAACCTCGTGACCTAAAATGGCATCTGGTCATTTTAAAAATATGATTGTTATTTATGGTTTAGAGTATATGATTTTAGGTTTTGGGCTTAGGGTATAGGGTTTGGGGTATATGGTTTTAATGTATGATTGCCATTTAATTTTTCAACATGTATAGTCTTGTACGATGTTCCAAACATTATTTTACTAGTTTTGAAGTGAAATCGAGACTTCTTCACCCAAAATGGGATATTGTCGTGTTACTCGTAAAGGTGTCATTTAGGGTATAGTGTATACAAGAACATCGATCGTGTAATCATTCAACGTGTATAAGTGAAATCAAGACCCTACTACCCAGAACGACGTGTGGTCATTTTACAAATATGACTACTGTTTAGGGTATACAAAAACATACCATGTTTTGGACTGAAATCAACCTATTACCTAAAATGGTGCAGGAACATTTTAGTCATATGATTGCCATTTTTTCTAATTCGGTATTCAATTCACATCTTTTTTATTCATTCAACCCAGGTAAGTTATCTATGATATTCCAATATTTGTTTTGCAATGAAACATTGTCGTTTTAAACGTATTACTATTGTTTTTCAAATTGGGTGAATTTGTGTAGTTAGTTAATAGTAGTCTGTTTTTCCACCGCATAAATATATAAGCTGTCATGAAAATCTGCAACTCCGTTTCAACCTTAACCGCTTCAATATTTGAATAAAACATCCATGCGATGAAAAATATAGCAAAATTTCATAGCAAGACTAATTAGCATCCATACACTGGGTCCCTAATCAATTATAAAAAATCAATACTAACTAGACAAAATTAGTATCCATGCACATATTTTCCAACTAAATCATAAAAAACGCTACCACTTAGATAAAATTAGCATCTAAGTCCTATGTTCTCCGACTACAAAGACGTGAAAATATATTACATAGGCCCAAATCTGCATAAGATTCAAAATATTACAATCTAAATTAAATGAATAATAAAATGTAATTTTAAGAGTATAACTTACAAGGCAAGTAAAAATCCATAAATTGAATATGAATATTTCTCATTATTTATCAAGTATGACTTCACCCAGAATCTCCAATTTCTCATGAATATATCTATTGTACGGCCAAAAGCCTTTCTTCCCCAAAGATAACTATTAAAAGCCTCTAAGTCATCAACCATTGATAAGTGTTTTAAATTTATGTACGTGTAGTTTTCTTTGAACAGTAATATCGTTTCCAAAATATATACAAGCCCCACCTTGTACTTGTCTTTCATACACACTTTGCGACTTTTAATAGCTTCCTTCAAATTGTACACCATTATCCCTTTGTTACATTTTTAAAGTATTTCTTTACCAATCTATCATTAGTCACAATATGGGGCTCCGACGAAAGCTCCTCACTAGTTCTCAACCTCATTATCAATGAGAACTCGTATAATGAAAATCATGTTGGCTTACCACAAATTGAAAATCAGATTTTAATTTTTTTTATGGTTACAATCATTCTCATTACAAGTTGGTGAACTAGCTGGGCTCTAAAATGGGTATATGTTCCATTCGATATAGTTGTTCAAAACAAGATTTTATCAACATTTCTCGATGAACATTATCTTACATTTCCTAAACATAGTCAAGTTTTTTAAGAGAACACTCTTGCGAAGGCCTGCTTATAATTATATCTTCAATGAGAATCACATACTCAAATGAGTGTTCCATTTCTATAATGAAAAACATAAAAAGAACATGTTAAGTTATCAATGAACAAATATGAAGACTTTACAGTGATACCTAGTACTTTTCAAAAAAGATAAAACGGGAAGGAGACATATTCAGAATTACTTAAATGGCAGGATGCCATTTCAGAATTAGATAAACTCCAAAGTGCCATTTTGAGAACTAGATGAACTTTAGGATGCCATACAGGAAAATTTGGCAACTAACATATCAAATATCACAAGTTCAACCAAGTAAATGCGTTTATATCATAGAAAAACACGCAAAATACTACCATATCTTCGTTACAGTCAAAAAACACGATCATTTATTACTCTACTGTGTTTCATTTGATGCAAACCTCTTGGATCCAACACATCACAATAGAAAAAGCCACATTATAGGAGGGAAAATAGTTCATCCATGTCTCAATGACAAGCAAATACCACAATACACTATAAATGTTCATCAAAGAATAGTTACGAGAAAGTATTTCGTGAAACCTTAAGAAAATGAATGAGCTCAAAATCTCATATCTTATCTCTCTCCATAATCAGCGATGTCCAAAACCTTTAAGAAGACACTTGGTTAAATAATACAAAATAGTGCCAATTTACTAAGACTTCAAGGATATCACAGAATATTCATTTCATTACACTAACATTGCAACAAACGTGATATTTAAATATTTTCAGCAAGCAAATACTTAAAAATTTAATTTCTAATAGCAATTTTTATTAAATTGCCATCTTTGCTTTCAATTATCATCTCCACAAGAATAAGAATCCAAAAGAATCATAACTCGTTGTGAAAAAATTATCATATGTCAAAGAACATAAAACCTTTGTAGCCATTTTCGATCCGCTCTCTTCAATCAAATTATCAAAAACCCAAAGATCTTATAAACCTCAACCCTTTTCGTATACTCAAATTCCAAATACAATAGTATTTTCTTCTACTATAATTCTATGACCACCATTTAAAACTACAATCTATGAAAATTCTGAATTGCCAACGAAGATGCACAAAAGTCATTCCACAGCCCATAGATGCCAAGAAAATGAAACAATCCAAGTTCTGATAATTTTATTTAAAAATTTCAAGCAGCAGAAATTGACACAATCATCCCCTTCCATATTTACATAATTCACCACAAATACCCCTTAATTTAACCTCCTTTGGTTAATTACAATACCAAAGTACAAGAAACGTGAATTAAATAAAGGTCCAAACAAGTCCATTCTATCAGTATAGTTCTTATTGGCACAAATTTCTCTAAAAAAAAAAAATCCACATAAAATCTTAGTGAAAATGAAAATTTGAGGAAACATTCATACATGCAGGGACGGATCCAGGATTGGATCCAAGACTGGGCTACAAAATTTCAAACTGGGCTACTATGCCAAAAAAAAAAAAAAATTTACACAAAAAAACTGATTTTTTTACCAAAAAAAAAATAAAAATAAAAAATATCTTAAAAAAAGCTATTGGCCCTGAGAGGGGGGGGGGGAAATAAATAAAAATAAAAATAAAAATTCTAAACTCATTTTCTCAAAAAAAAAAAAAAAACCCAAAAAAAAAGTTTGGGGGGGGGGGGCCCCCACCCCCCCCCCCCCCCCCCCCCCCCCCAAATCCGCCTCTGCATACATGAGGATAGCCCATTATGAAATTGGTTCTTAGAAATGGTTGTTCAAGTATGGGTGCTCTTTAGCGAATTTCGGTTCTATAGATCTTGAGAAATGGATAAAACCTTCGTACAAATTCCTTGTTTCACTCGAGAACACGAAGGCATCCAATTTTCAATGTAGAAGGATTTGGAGATGACGAAGCCACGAAGAGAAAAAAGAAGGATTCAGGGGTCATCGAGAGAGAAAAAAAAAATATTATATTTAGGATATTGGGAATTCAATTGATTTGAGTTCGAAGGGATTACGTTTTCTAGATGGTGGTAAGGTTATATTAGGTATTTTACAAATTATGATTTAAAAATATTATTTTTGGTCCAAGACTAAAATCCCAAGGTGTAGCATGAAATAGACTATTTGACCCAATTATCACATTTCTAATCATGATACCACGACATTTGAGGTCTTTCTTATCACTTTGAATGTCGACTTATCATGATTTAAAAGGTTATGGATCCAAAGTAAAAGAAGAGCAGTGCTTGGTGCGTATAGCATGGTGTATAGCCCCCTCACTATAAGGGGCCACGATTTTATATTCATGGTGGGCCCCCCTTGTGAGGGGCTGTGCACCACACCAGAGGCCTTAGTAGTTACTATCTAGGGAAAAATTCATATCTATGAAATCTAAAGTATTTCAAGAAATACTAAATTACTATTAAATTACAAAAAGTACTGTATGCTCTATCAAACATAATCAAATTTATTGTCTTTAAAAGTTTCCTCATTTATGAATGTAACCGAAATTTTAAAGAGGCAATTATCACTCCATTCATTAACTATCCACTGTCAATATGGCAATACGGAAATTCAAATCTGAATTTGTTTTCTGCCGTAATCTAATTTGAACATATGATTACTCATTCCCTGCAATAGGATATTTATCCTCCAGTTGTGACTTCGTTGGATAGGGGAGAAACGTCTCTTAAAAGATAACGTTTTTTCATGTCTTGGAGTTCATTAAATTTTCAGATTTCCCTACATTTTTCTCAACAAAATATAGGGCTATCATTTATATCAGTCGTCTGTATTACCATTAAGGATGTGCACAGTTTTTCCCAAAGGCATAATGTGTTTACATAACTTGATGAAATAGCATGAATGGCTAGCCATATTGTTACGGATATAGTGTTTATCTATGTGTCTATTAGACATACTTTTGTAAAGACGTGAGCCGATTTATATAATTTACACTCGACCTATAGAAATTTTGTGTTAATATCAGTGCCTTCTACACAATCTTCCTAACAGTTGATACATTAAAATCATTCCATCTCATTTTCCATACTTGTCAAGTATCGGCTTCTAATGAATCCATGTACCAAGTGCTCGACGAGAGCAATAAGCATGTTGTAGATTTGAATATGATGACTTGCACGTGCAACATGTTTCAGATTGACAGTGTGCCGTGTCTGCGTGCATTAGCTGTCATAGGGGAAGTGTTGATCAACCACACAATTATTGCTCACACTACCACACAAAAGGAGTGTTATTCGAAATCGTACATTGGATTCATTGTTCCGCTACGTGATCGTGCCCAATGGAAGGCCGACAATTATGGAAAGCATGACAAAATATTTCCTCCAAATCTAAGAGATAACCAGGTAGGACTAAGAAAACAAGGAGACGGACAAGGGTGAAGTGCTTACATCCTAACAATATTTGAAAGGTGTGGCCCATGTTCATCGCTGTACAAAAGCAGAATTGTGCCCCATCATTTAAACTTAAAAACAAGTCATTGAAAAGATAATCAACAAGTAGAACAATAATTTATTTAAATTTTCCAGAGATAGTCACAGTTCTGAGTATAAAATAGACAAAATAAAGTGAACATTGACTGCAAACTAGAAATAAAATTTCGAATATCTAAAAAAAAATTGGAAAACCTACTAGTACCGTGGAAACGTCACAACATTTTCTACTATCCAAAAACACAGTTGAGAGATAAATTTAAACTTGCATCGATGTCCTGATCTTCCTCTCTCTCCTCACACTACGTGGCACGAGGTCGTAGTCGATTTCATGTCCTTCAATCATCTTCTCTCATCCATACTTCTAAAGTAAGATTGCCAAATGCGACCTCAAAATTTTGGAATTTTTTTTTCTTTTTGACATCATGTTTATCTCGTATTTCATAATGAATTATGCGTACATTATGACGAATATACGGCGATCATGCCCGCAAGAAAACATGATTACGTGTGTTACGTACTCTACACAGTGTGTAATTTGAAGAATTCTTTTCAATAATGAAATTCGTATGATATGTGTCGCCATCATAGACTACAGTCACATAAGACGCAATTTTCACTATTTGTTCGGAAGTAATAGATTTGAAATCAGAATCGACAAGATTTGGGGGTTCTATTTTGAAGTAAGATGGACCTTTTCAAATCATCATGCACTCGCCCACAAGAGTGGTTAAAAGTCAAAACTACTCAGATTATTTTTAGCAATACCAGCCAACCGATTTAATTGATTGATTCAATCAAAATATAATATAAATAAATAATTTATTGAAAACAAATTATTTTATATAATTTACTCCCTTGTGGAAGATGACGAGGAAACTAATATAATTTAAATGGATTGAAATTTCGCACCGCTTAATTTGACAAGAAGTCTAGATGATTCAAAGCTCGTGTGAAAGAGAGAGTGTATATATTGATTAAAAATTATCGTCGACTTTGCTGATTCGACAAGAATATGTTGATGGTTTGGAATTCATACAAAGTGGAAGGGGAGATTTTGGTATTCTGAAAATGTTATATGGATGAAATTTCCTCTTGGAGAATGAAAGAAATGTCTTGAAAATGATAAAATTTATAAATAAATAAATTTTTGCTATTTTGTAATATATTTTGCGGATACATTATGAATATATGCATAATTGGACTAGGAAAATATATTGCACCCTAATAATATGCTGTCTTTCAATATCAAATTTCCCCAATATAATATGCCAAAACTAAGGAAAGGACCACGTGCTTTTGTGAATGCTTCCATACTTTTTAATACATTTTTTGTTTTCTTGTCCATTCATTGAATTTGAGGGTGAAAAATATTAAAGAAAATTAAACAATGACCCTATTTGACACCCATTATTTGAAAAATTAAAGAGTTTTCAATAGTATTTATTGAAAATGTGCAGTTAAAAAGTAAAAAAAAAAAAAAAAAACTTTATTGGTTTATACGTAGAATATTTTATTGTGTGAATATGTGATTAAAAATAATATTATAGCAAACAATTTAAATTTTTAAAGGTTGTCAAACGGGGCTAAAAAACCTTTGATCATTTTACTCTTTAAAGGTTAAAAACTTGTTTGGGCACCCAACGGCCACTCCAATATTTTTGTTCATCATTAATCATTCAACTTCATAAAACTCAATCTATTAATGGATAAAGTTATTTGTATATGGTGATTTACCACTTGGTTGATAGACGATGTAGCAATTTTACAAGTCATGCTACATTATCAAATTGATTTTATCATAATTGTGTCAGATTAACATTTCACGGCATTTTATTGGTAGTTGGACCAAAAACATTTTTCAACCATCCATTCACAATTTGCTAATTCATTCTGGCACTTTAATTTTGGTAAAATAGCATAACTCATTTTATAATGATTGGATTAAATGTGTGAGATGTGAAAGGTGGTGTAAAATTGTGCTAAACGTAAATTCAGTAAGTCAGAATGTAAAGGAATGTGTACATGTAGCAAGATTGTCTATTAATTACATTGTCAAACTCGTATATTTATCAACAAAATGAAGGCTTAATAGTTTCATATATGCTAAGCAATAAAAAGATGACAAATCAATGAATTGATAGATCACTCCATAATTAATTGATGTGCTATGTTACCAACTTAATGGCAATGTAGAATTGAGAGTTTGATACACTAAAAGTATAGTAATCAACTTAAAATTTTGCTAGATTCTGCTATCAATAAAATTCTTTACCCAATGTAAATTATTAAATAAACATATGTCCATAACAAAAACTATATCACACCAAAAATATAAAAACTTTTTCAAAATCTCAATTTCCATACTAAGGGCTTGTTTGGTAATGATTTTGAGAATTGATTTTTATGATCGTTGGAAAGAAAAGTAAATACTATTTATAAGAGAAAGAATAAAAAATAACGGCTTGAATAGTAAAATAAGGGTCAAAACATTGATTTTTTGGGCTGAAAAATCAATACCAAACATGCACTAAATATCATGGGCCAACTATAGATATGTATTTTGCCTATGCAGGACTTCAAACTACTACTATTCCTATAAATGCAATGTGAGACAGTCATGAGCTTATTCAACAAGAATAAAGTACCAAAGCTTCTAATATAAATGAAATTTTTATTATCTTTCATTGACTTCCAATTTTCCATCAATACTACGTACACAAATGGTTCAATTATTTATCAATAATTAAAGTAGCTATTAATCCCACTGTTTACCCCCTTTTTGTTTATTAAAACAAAGATTAGACCCTAAACTCCCTGGCCAACATGGACCACCGGAGCAATGTCTCCCCAACAAAGTTCAACTTCTGGTCATATGAACATTATATATTGTAAATTAAATGAATCTCATAATGAGTCTAAATGATTACTTTGATATGCTTGAATGCAGTAAACCGCCGTTTTCATCAAATAATACATATAAATTACTAAAATATTGTCCCAATGTATATATAAATACTAGTACTCAATACACCTATCTATACCAAGCATTCTTCGTACAGTTAGATCCATCTAAACTCGATCACAGAGGAGAAGGAAACAAAAATATGGGAGGAGGAAGAAGTTTTGTGTCTGAGAAGATGAAACTTCTTGTTGCATTGCTTATTTTGCAGCTCTGCTTTGCAGGTTTTCACATAGTTTCAAGGGTGGCACTGAACATTGGCATTAGCAAAGTTGTTTACCCTGTTTACAGAAACATTATAGCCCTGCTAATGTTGGGACCCTTTTCGTATTTCTTTGAAAAGTGCGTTATTTTAATATTTTCTACTAGAATTAACAAGATTACAGATTAACTTTCTTCTTGTTATGGCTGAGACTCTGGTGTCTTCTACAGGAATGAAAGACCACCTCTTACATTTTCTTTACTGGTTCAGTTTTTCCTTTTAGCATTGGTTGGGTAAGAACATGGGATTCTTAAATACTTTAAATTTTCGTTTCCCTAATATCTCATTTTCTCATATTTGTGTTTTTTGCTCTACCAGAATCACTGCAAATCAGGGATTTTACCTATTAGGTTTGTATTATGCATCTCCAACCTTTGCATCAGCAATGCAGAACTCGGTTCCTGCAATTACTTTCATCATGGCTTCAACCTTCGGGTATCAACACCTCCACTCCGACCCATGTATTAACAAGTAGTATTTGCAAATAGCTTACTTATGATTGAATTTCCATTTTTTTTCCCTCTTTTCAGATGTGAGCAAGTTAATATTAGGAGGAAGGATGGATTGGCAAAAATTCTAGGTACAATAGCAAGTGTAGGAGGTGCTACTATTATAACTCTCTATAAAGGCCCTCTGATTCTGCACCAGGCATCACCAGTGGGAAGTAACTTAGAAGAAGGCAGTTTCTTCAATACAGCTAAAATACAGAACTGGACATGGGGCTGCATATTTTTACTTGGTCACTGCTTATCATGGGCTGGTTGGATGGTCCTTCAGGTAGGCCTATAATATAATCAATGTACCTACAACGTATAAGAAAAATATTAAGCTAATAACTGTTCACGCCCAAGGTAATTGTTATCTAAAATCACAATCAAAGTAACTGATCAAGGTTCAATATTAAATTTTGCAGGCTCCTATTCTGAAGAAATACCCTGCCAAACTCTCACTTACCTCGTTTACGTGCTTCTTTGGATTAATCCAGTTCTTATTCATAGCAGCTTTTGTAGAAAGGGATCCTAAGCACTGGAAAATTCAGTCCGGAGAAGAGATATTCACAATCTTATATGCCGTAATATCTTTAAACTAAATTGGTTACAATTTACTTGTAATTTTTCTCCAGTAGAGACTCTGCAACCCTTGAATTTATTTCAGGGAATTGTATCTTCTGGGATAGTCATTGCTCTTCAGACCTGGTGTATTCAGATAGGAGGACCAGTTTTTGTTGCCAGCTTCCAGCCAGTTCAAACAGTTTTGGTTGCTGGCATGGCATTTGTAATTCTTGGTGATCAATTATACTCTGGCGGGTATGTTATGAAAATGGCATTTAATGCAAGAATGACTTATATAGTACGATTATAGCAAATTTTTAACAAAGGATTAAATAACCCTGAGCAGTACTAAGAAAGAAAGAAAAAAAAAAAAAAAGCTAAAATTCCGTTCATCATACTATCTGGTCCTGTCTCATATAGCTCGCTTCACAGATTTCATTCTAATAGACCTTTGCCATCCTGAATTGATTTTGTTTCTTACAGAATTATCGGAGCTGCTCTCATAATGGTTGGGCTCTACCTGGTCTTATGGGGTAAAACTGAAGAGAGAAGGAACAAAAACCAAGATGCAGAAGAGACATTGACAAAACATCTACTCGAGGGCAAGAGCAACACTGAAGAAAGCTACGATGAATCTGAAATTCCATGATAACATCTGTAATTTGTTAACAAATCCACAAAATTGACATATGGTGATTGTTCAGATACCATAGATCAAGCTATGAGAAAATGTCCTGCTCTGGTCAGAGACAAGATTAGCAACAATATCATAACATGTAAATTTTACTGGATATGTTCAAATCTTTTAAATTTGAAATACGAACACCTAACCCCCCGGCTTCACATCAAAGAGCCATTTCAATGAAAAGAAGTTCGGATGATGGCTTAATAACTTGACGGTTTAAAGCTCATGAGCCTTGAAATCAAATAGAACGAGCTGCTTTTCATAAATTCATACTTCAGAAAATTAAGCAACTTCAACTGCTAAACTCCTTTGTCTGTAGTGTGGATAGAATGACCATTAACATTTTCACAAATTTCTAAAATGATATATTAGAAAGCTCCAACTATTATCTCTCCTTCCTACTTAAATAGATTTCCTATGTAGCATTCTTATTCGTTTTGCAAAATTTTATCCAACTATTATCTCTTCATTTGGATTCAAACTCAATTTTTTTCTACTTTGATTTATTATTCACTTTGCATAATTTTTTTGTCATGCAAGACATGTATAAGACAACTATTCAAATATCATACTATTTAGTACTTGTGCTATTTAATGCAGTAATGAAACGGGAAAATAAAATCAAATAATATTCATCAAGATGAGAGGAAAGTGGTGTTTAAAAGATATAATCCATATGATGCAAACTGTCTCGACACTTGTTCCCACAAACCCACCAAATGAGCCCTGTTTTTTTTCCCTTCATTCTTCCGTACCCCCAGCTGTCCCTGTTGAAGTCCAATTTTCTATAATATTCACAGCTTTGGAACCAGACAGCTATTTTTCTCGAATATAGGAATATTTTTTGTTTAATCTAAACTCTTATTAGAAAGAGAGGATCAACCAACAAACGTTAGAAAATCAGAAAATCAAACTAATCTCAAATATTATTACAGCTGTTGTGAAATACAAAGGTGGCTAAGGCAGTGGCAACAGATAAGTATTTACACGTGAAATAGGAGGTGCAAAGAAACCTGAAAAGCGTGTACTGTAGGATTACTAATTAAGAGAAGAATACTCTACAGGTACAGATTGAACTAGTACATTTGCCTGAAGATGTTTTACACAATTTTCCTCATGTTGGGACTGTGCTGAGAATTGTATCAGATGAAGTATACAGCAAACTTGGTGTTAACTTTCAATTGAAAATTGGGTTAGGGTTCTTAATCTTCAATTTAAGACCAAGTCAGGTTTATGGAAATGAGTTCTAACTCCAGCAACCAAGTTTCATCTGAGAATGAAAAAGGTGTCATGACCATTGAAGGTTGCCCTTCCTCATTTGGGTTTTGCCACAGAACAGTAGAGACTAGCCCAGGCACTTCATTTGACGTAGCCTCTTTATTTCTATCATGATTTTGGATTATATCTACTAGTTGTAACAAGAGAATATTGGAAAGAGGCGGATTCAGAATATTCATACAACACACATCGTATTATAAGACAGCCTTTTCAAATTCTATGAAGTTCAAAGCCATCAATAAAGCCATATTCAAATTAGCCAATGAAACATTGAGATATCCATAATATATAAAAAAAAAAAATGTTAAATCCAAAAGTGTAGGAAGACACTAATTTTAGAAAGAAGCGCACACAAATCAAAAGAAAAATCGGAAGACAATATGAAAACAAACAGTTGTCAAACCATCCAACATTTTCATGTTCTGAGAAACTCTACCTCACAGTAACAATATCGTCTATCTTCAAAATCATACGGACACACTCTGTGGCCAAGGTAATTGCACTTGTGCTCACTAGTAGCGGTTGTACTACATTCTCATCCATGATATTAGTGATCTGGCCTTTCCTCACATTGATCCGTGCATTGATCTCACCCTGAGCGTGCCTATTCCTCAGCTCGGTCACAATGGTAATTGGGTTCAAACCTGCATTCTCAGCCAATGTATATGGAATAACCTCGAGAGTCTCAGCAAATGCCTTCACGCAGTACCCTTCCATACCCTGCAGCACCTTGGCCCATGCGCCCAACTGCCTAGACAGTTCGATCTCAGGTGCTCCACCGCCAGCAATCAGAAACTTCTTGTTCACCAAACACCTCACCACACACAAAGCATCATGCAAGCTCCTCTCAGCCTCATCAAGCACCAACTGGTTCGATCCACGGACAAGAACACAATTAGTCCTCCCTATGTCCTTAATCCCGGTGATTTTGACTATCTTCCCACCATCCCCCAATGACACCTCTTCCACCAAATCTGCATACCCCAACTTCTCAGCCCGGAAATGCTCAATGTTTGATATCGGTAAGCAATTTAAAGTCTTGGTAACGAACTCAATCTCATCCCGCTCGACATCCTTAATTACCAAAATTTTTCCTTTGCCAAATAATGTAATGACAAGTCTGTCACAGCATCCCTCAAAATACTCTTCTGAAGCAACAGCACATTACACCCTGTTGCCTTAATCTTCTTAATCATACCCAAAATATAGTTCCTCTCCTCCTTCAAAATCCTATCCATCTGCGTATAATCAGATACCACAATGCTTTGCTCAATGTCAGTTTTAGGCGGCGATATTTGAAACTGTATCACCCCAATTTTAGCATTTTCCATTCTGGTCAGCCCCCCTGCTGTATGACTCACCTTCTTATCAAAAACCAGACCCTTAACCAACTCAGTATCATCAACAGTACCCCCTAATTTCTTCACAATCTTAATGTCTTTTAAGTCTACTAAATCAGGTTTAGCAGGGTCCACTACAGAAAGTACAGCATCAACAGCTAATGGGGCTAGAAGAGAAGAGTATTGAGACACAACCTTCGAATTCAAAGAAGTCGAGGCCGATTTAACCAGCGAATCACGGTCCGATAACTCCACAGGAATAGCCATAGCCGATAAAATCTCAACAGCTTTAATCGAAGCCTTGTTTAGGGCGTCTGAAACAATCGTCGGGTGAATGCCAGAAGATAAAAGTGTAAGAGACGCCTTCAAAAGAGCACCCGCTATAACAACAACAGTGGTCGTCCCATCTCCAGCAACAACATCCTGTGATTTCGAAAGCTCGACAAGGAATTTTGCAGCCGGCTGCAGAACTTCCATCTTATTAAGAATGGTGGCGCCGTCGTTAGTGATAATGACCTCACCGGAGGAGGTAGAAATCATCTTGTCCATTCCCCTCGGTCCAAGGCTCGTACGGACGGCGTCTGCCACCGACTGCGACGCCGCAATGTTGGCCATCCGGATATCATCCTTACGCTTGTTGTCAACGAAAGTCTCGGTGAATTTCGGCTTTGCCACTGCCAGAGCTGCCATTTCTGTAGATCGGCAATAAACCCTAGTACAGAGAGACTGTAAGAATCCAGAGAAAAAATGGAGGATTCTACATAGTGCTTGTTTGTTTAAAATAGCTTGATAAGTTGTTCGAGTTAAAATTAATTACTAACTTAAATTATATATTTAGCCCCGGTTTCATTATAATTTTAATATTTTTTTTCTTTTTTTAATTATATATTCTTCAATACAATAATATTATATATATAAATTCAATTTTTTTTTTAACTATACATTCTTCAGAAAAATATTATTCGAAAATATAATTTCCCCAAAAATACATTAATCACTGTTTGAAAATTTTATTCCTAAAAAATCATGTTTTAAATAGTAATTTTTAGAAGAAAGTGTATCTAAAAAGTATAAAGAAAACTTAGAGTTTACTTATATGATATTTTATTGTGTGAATAAGTGGTTAAAATTGAGTATATGGAAAAAAGAATTAGAAAATAATAGTGGTAAATAGTGGATCCCAAATAGGGGCCCACTGAATCTATAATTTTTATCAATTTTTAATTAAATATTTCATAAAATTTTATTAATCTATTGAAATCTTTACCGATAGTTTGCTACTCAATCATATAGTTTTGAGGAAATTTTTTGAAACTTTGCTAAACATTGATTTTTTACATTTTGGTTGACACTTGCATTGTTATCAAATATCAAATTGGATAAAAAAAACTGTTTGAAATTTAAACGTTCAATAAGATAATGCCATTTGGCAAAGCGTAAACCAAAAAGTGTACACTTTATTATACATGTAGTAAGGTTCAATTTTTCGAAACAAACTCAGGCCCCCCTATCTAAGCCCTATTTTTTAACAAACTCGTCTTTATGTTTTTCAAATTCATTTTTAATCACACCTTCTCCAAATAAAATAATTTTATATGTAAAATTAAATTTTTTTCATACTTTATAATTATACATTCTTCAAAGCACTATCATAAAATCTATTTTCCCAAAAAAATGAGGCTCGATCAAAGCCTCAATTTAGAGTTTGTTTGATTTTTATTTTTTTTGAAATTATTTTTTTAAAAGTAATTGTTGTGGAAAGTGTTGTGAGAGTATCTTCAATGGCGCTATAAAAGTAGGTGTAAATTAGTATCTTAACAATCACTTTTGAATCGTCATTTATATTTTCATAGATTTAAATTCAAATTTTGCTCAAATGAAAATATATAAATTCACTTCTTGCCTCTTGTGGATGTTTAAAAAAAAAAGATGTAAATTTTCATCTCTTTTTATATTTTCTATCAAAAAATGCAATTTACATCTCTCCAATTGAGAAGTTTACGGCTACTTTGAAAATCTAAATCTCTATTTCACACTACCATTGGAGATACTCTAAAAAGTAGGAAAAAAAATTGTGATTTCATGTGTGAATTTTCCCTATAACATAGGAGAGTGACTTTGTTATGGTATTGTTCATAGGAATGTGTGCCTAGCTTCTTCTTCTTCTTCCTTTTTTTTTTTTAGTCTTTTTGTCGTTTATTATTATTTTTTGGGAACATAAAATGACATCGTATTATTTTTGCAAACAAAAGAAAAACAATTTTACAAGCAACACCCATACATTTGAGTACAAACACTTCATGCAACCATCATCTCCATTCTCTTCTCAGGACTACAATATCTCTTTAATTCACCAATTTCCGAGACAAGCATCCACACTTCTCCTTCCTTCTTTTTCTTTCTCCTAAGATTCTCTCTATAAGCTACATAATCTTGTTGAAGCTTTCCGATGTAGATTCAAAGCCTCTAAGCGGATGAAGCTATTCTTGAAATATGCGTTTACAAGTGTTTCATTAACCGAGTGTTGGATGAACTAATTTATCGTTTCTTTGTCTCTATGATTTGATTTTGTGTTTATGGGCAATATTCCCCAATTCTACCTTTTGGAAGCCCACTGCCTCTCCAAGTTCACTCTTCAAGCTCAGTTTCTAG